CTTAAAAATAAATTAGGAGAAGGAAAGTAGAGATTTTTAGGCCATTTTTATTCCTAATATCCTAGTTGGTCAATCAAGTATTAGGCGCAGCCTCAAAGCTGTTAAACTCTATCTCCAAAATTTTGCACTCTTCTTTCTTCAGCACATGTGTTTTTGCCTAGAAGTCACTCTGCCTTATGCTGCTTCTCCTAATTTATTTTTAAGGTGGCAACTTAGCAATAGCAATAGCAGTTGGACTTATATACCGCTTCATAGGGCTTTCAGCCCTCTCTAAGCGGTTTACAGAGTCAGCATATCGCCCCCCACAGTCTGGGTCCTCATTTCACCCACCTCGGAAGGATGGAAGGCTGAGTCAACCTTGAACCGGTGAGATTAGAACTGCAGATAACAGTCAGCTGAAGTGGCCTGCAGTACTGCACCCTAACCACTGCGCCACTTCGGCTCTTGATTTTTTCTTCTTGAGAAATCTGAAACAGAATCTGTGCATGACCTTGTTGATACTTTCTTTATTCCAGGTTATGGCTGTTGGACGGACCTTTGAAGAGAGCTTCCAGAAGGCTTTAAGAATGTGCCACCCATCCATTGATGGCTTCACATCATGCTTGCCAATGAATAAAGACTGGCCTGGTGAGGTGGATCTCAAAAGTGAATTATCTGAAGCCTCCAGTACACGAATGTATGCAGTGGCTAAGGTACTGTGAGAAGCAATTGAATTTTCATCTTGTGACTAGCTAAAAGATGAAGCATTGTTTTAACTGATAGACAGCATCAAGATAAAGATCAGCATCTTCCATGTTTTTTTTTTTCTTAAACAAAGTTAATGCAATATTGAGTTACAGCATTTTCAGCGTGGCAGAATTCTTGTTTTAAAAGAGCAAACTATTCATGCCAAACAAGACCTTTGTTGAAATTATCTCATGGTATCAAAATCTCTAGCATTCTCAAGTGTTTTTTATGATCATCAAGAACGTAGGTAGTCTGGGTGGACGCCTTTACATTAAATCCTTAATAATTAAGAAGCAGGAAGAAGAAGCTTGTGGTTAATTTTCTTTCCCTGAAATAGACCATTTTTCCGATTCCCCTAAGCCGTTATACAGTCTGTTTATAGCATCAGCCTAAGAAGAATAGACACTGATTCTTCCAGAATATGGAATTATTCAAATATGTTTTATATTCTTTTCTGTTTTGACATTTCAGCTTTCTTTACTTGTTAAAATTCATCTAGACGGCTGGAACTTGCTGGTCAGAAATCTTTAACAATTGTTATGACACTTAAAGAATGAATTATTTATTCCCCTTGGTGCAATGCCACATTAAGTCCGTTTGCTAGGCTTGTCAAAAATCCTTTAACTCTCGCTTTTCTCAAAATCCAACATTTGGAGATGGAGAAGGAGTCTTGACACTGAGCTTTGAAAAAATGTAGTTACAATCTTTGTACCATGATGTTACTTTCCTATTTTTAAAAGAAGTAATACAGAGATAGGACTAAACAATTGTAGAGTCACATTCAAATTACACGATTCATTACTACATATTATGTATTTGATAATGCTGATTGCTTCTTAAACTGCCAATACTAAAGCTGTAGAACTTAGATGTTAATTATACTTCTGGGGTATGCAACTTCAAGCTTGATGTAGAGATTTATATGAATAGATGCACAAAGGAAACTAGTTTACTATGAAAAAAATTAGCTAATACTTATTCCTTAGTGGGCATAAAGTCTGAATAATTAAGTCATATTTCTGTATAGTTTTTAATAGGCAACTATCTTTTTGTGTCTCAGATGGTCCGTGGTCCTTTTTTCCTGGAAAATAGTGTTTACATATTTATTGGTATCTTAAAATCCAATTCAAAAACTTATAAGTAAGCAACTTTGTATAATTTAAGTAGCTGCTATTATTCTTTTCCTTTTATTCCTTTATTAATTTGGCCAAAAGATGCTTTGTATGGATGCATGTATTTTCTCATTTGGAAGGAACCAATTGCTTCACTGGTCATACAAGATTTCATGAGAAAGAAGAGATTGATATCAATAGGTTGTTTACATACCTGACTGATTGGGAAGAATGCTGATGCTCTAGTGCCTAATGTTTCAGTGGGGTCTCCTTGAAAATATAATATCATGATTGTCACATTTGTTTCTCTCAAGGAACATTTCCTACCTTGACAAATATGCCAACATTTTGAATCATCATCACAGAATCATGGCATATAAGTACAGCTGGGCCATAATTAGATCTGTTGGTCTTCAGTGTTGCTAAAACACTTCTTTTAGTCCCTAGAAGGGCACTTTATATAGGATTCTTGAACTAGTGAAAATGCTGTCCAACAAAGTTGGTCTTTTGCAATTGATCTTTTTATAAGGAACCACTGGGCTCCCTAGAACTTAGTTTGAATGTGTATTTGAAGATCAGTTTTGTGGAAGAAATCTAATTCTAATGGGATTTAAACTGGCTTGAACTGAATTTTCATGCCCATTCAATTGAGATGGGGAACTTTTGATTGATCATGTAAGCAAATTACTGAAGGTTAACACTGCTTCTCCTTTTCAGCCAGATCCATGACAATAATCATAGGTTGGATTGGTTTTCATAAAGCTCATTCTTAAGGCTTCATGGAACCTCCAAATCTTCTAAGGCACAGGAAGACACATTTTGTTTCAAAAGGAGTATGAAGTCTTTGAACCTATTTAACTAATCTTTACTCTTTACATAATTCCACCCTAATAATAATAATAATACAATATTATTAAGTGAAAACTATGCTGAGCTACAATTATGGTATGTAGGCCAGTTTGTATAGATTGAAAAGTTTGAAATGGGTTTTTGAATACAAATGAAACTTTTGAACACAATTTATAACATCGGGAATTAGGATAAAGAGTAGGCAATTTTAAAGGAAACTAGAGGGAATATTAAGCATGAAGGGTTTTTATTTCACTTTTTTAAAAGTGAAATAAAGTCAGAATTAAACTAGTTAAATTAACAGATGATATGGACCACAGTTAAAAAGCAATCAATATTTATAAACTATTGCTGAAAGTTCGATTTAGAAAGAGCTAAACTTCAGAATAGATTTGAGATAGAAATAACTACTAAATATTTTTATTCAACACAGTGTTCAGGAATAAGTCAGTTAATTCATGAAACCATGACTAATCAACATTCCTTTCTGGTAGGCCTTGAATGAAAACTTCCCTGTAGATGATATCCATAGACTTACAGACATTGATAAATGGTTCATCTTTAAAATGCGTAATATCGTGAACACGGAGAAGAACTTAAAAGCTCTTGATAGGTAAGTCTATTAAGCTTCCTTTTAAAGACAGCCGAGTATGTTATATTGTATTACTCTGATGTCAGATAATTGCTTCTATGAAAGGGCTAATCAGCAAAAATGCCTGCATATTTCCCCTCCCTCCTTTTTACATGGTGTACTAAGGGTGGTCATGGGACTCCAACTATAAACACATAGTTGTTGCTCAGTGGACTAATTGAAATGCTGCTCCACTCTCTCCTCTTTTAGCAATCAGATTCAGATTAACAGAGTTGATCATCTAGTCCAACCCCCCCCCCCGCCAGCTCAAGCAGGAGACCCTACACCATTTCTGACAAATGGCAGTCCAATCTCTTCTTGAAGTCTCAAGTGATCAAACTCCCACAACTTCCGAAGGCAACTTCTGTCCAATTGGTTGATTGTTCTCACTGTCAGAAAGTTCCTCCTTATTTCTAGGTTGAATCTCTTCTTGGTCAGTTTCCATCTATTATTCCTTGCCTGGCCTTCAGGTGCTTTGGAGAATAGCTTGGCTCCCTCCTCTCTATGGCAGCCCTTCAAATATTGGAAGACTGCTATCATGTGTCCCCTGGTCCTTCTCTTCACTAGACTAGCCAGGCCCAGTTCCTGTAACCGTTTTTCATATGTTTTAGCCTCCAGTCCTCTAATAATCTTTATTGCTCTTCTCTGCACTTTTTCTAGAGTCTCAACATCTTTTTTATAGTGTGGTGACCAAAACAGGATACAGTACCCTAGGTGTGGTCTTATTAGGGCTTTATAGAGTGGTATTAGTACCACACTTGATTTTGATTGAATCCCTTTATGCAATTTAGGATTGCATTGGCTTTTTTGGCTGCTGCTGCACACTACTGGCTCATATTTAGCAGGTTGTCCACTAAGACTCCAAGATCCCTCTCACAGTCACTGCTATTAAGCCTGGTTTCACCCAGTTTATATGTATCCTTTTGGCTTTTCTTACCTAATCCTCCTATTTGTATTACTCCACTGCCTTCTCTATAGACTATTTGCGATCTAGAGTTCACTCTTGATTTAGTCTCCATCCTGATGCTCTTCCATATTTATGTTTCCAGTAATGGAAAGTAACTTTCAGGTTCCTTCTCCATGTGATATAGAAAATTCTCTTCTCTTTGTGATGGAAAGCATGGCCATATTGATAGAGGTTCCGATATGGACATTAGTTCTGCAGGATCTTGAGGTTTTTATCAAAACCATGAAAGCAAGATCATGCCATCCCTCTTTCCCCATCATATGATCATGATGGCCTGTTTTTATTATCCTGTGGATGACCTCAAGTAAATGACCACTCTAATCTAGGCCAGAGAAGCTGTCTAGATGAGCCCCTAGTCTGATATCTTAATCCTCTTGCCAAACCTTCTCTTTTGCGACAGCTAAAATTGAAGATGTATTTAGATAGAAAATAGTATTGTTCTTCTTGAGCATGAATGCACAAGATACAATACAGTAGAGAGTGGAAAACCAAAGATTAAGACTGCCAGTCAGTGTTCTGCTCTGCTATTCCCTTCCCTTTTCTTTCTTGCATTTTATGAAGTCTACAGAGGGTGTTTACTGAATTATTGCCTGGATATTTAGGGCATTTTCCTTAACCTGGAGATGCCAATAAATTTTGGCAGCCACACGAGGGCACCAGAAACTCACATTCTATCAAATAATTAAATAAATACATTCCACCGTCAGGAAGGAACTTGGCAGAAGGTTTGAATTAGTGTTATGAAAAAAAAGGCTTTTCATCTAATCTTTGTTCTGCTCCTTTGACAATCGGTACATTTTTAATTGAGTAGTTTTCATTTTACTCAGAAAGTCAGCTGGAGCTTTAGCTAAGCTTAAGCAACGGTGGAAGAATAGTAGATAGATAATTTACCACGCACACATATCTCAGGTAATTTCCCCTTTAACTTCCATGTTTTGTTACACTGCCTTTCTGATTTCACTTAAAAGGAAATAGCCATATGCATTCAATTCCCCATATTTTTGATAAGTTCCATTTCTTTTGTTGGACGCAGTGATTGATTATAGTTAGCCTTTTTGTACAAACTTGGAACCACAAATGAATCAAAAAACAATTTGAGCTGTTTTTATTAATGTCTTTTCCATTGTGCTAGTCTATAAGATATATTTTAAGCAGAAATAATACTAATGCTATTTTCTACACTGGCGTCAGATGTAAGAAAATGAATGAACAATGAATAAAGTGCAAAATGTATGAACTAAACTAGGAAGGAGCAACCTTGGAGTAGTCAGCCAACTTGATGATTTCGGTCAGCCCTTTTGGCTCTCTCCTCAGTTGCTGTTGCTTAAATTTGATAGCACAATTTTATTAGACATTAATGCTTCTATAAAATGTTCAATTGCTTTCACGTTTTTGAAAAAAAAAATTCTCATGCTGTTACTCACATGTCCTTTATTGGTGCTAGCAGCGAAAGCCCACCATAAATATTCACAAACACTTCTGTATACTAATTTTGGATAAACTTTTTCCATATCTGGACATTTTCCTGTAATATTTTGTCCATATTGTTGGCTGAGAATTATATTGCAAAACTCCGGAAGGTATGTATTTCAACATGTGCTTTTCCTTCATATCGGAAAGCACAAAAATCATATCTATAAAAATCTTCCTGCAATGAATTTCTTATCCATCCTTATTCTCAGCTCCATGGTGCAATAGAAGAGGCAAGAGAATAAAACACAGCATTGATGACTGAAATTAATAGGGTTTATGGTGATCAGAGGCTAGAGGGAAGGAAGGAAGGAAGGAAGGAAGGAAGGAAGGAAGGAAAAGAAAAGTAAGAGGGCAGTATAGAGATATTCTTCTTCTTTTGACTATAGTTTGGCAGATTGCATTTTAGATTGCATTCAGAATTAATTTCCGTCCTTCCTTCTGTTGCTGCTTTGCAAAAAGCTTGGAGGAGACTCTGACAAGAACCCATTTATTTGGTTTTAAACCGTAGTGATCCTTGGAGACATACACTCACCATCCACCATGGCTTATGTGGAGATAATAGTGTGAAGAGAGAAATATATTAATAAGGTCTTTGCATTAGAGCCTTTACTGAAATGTAAAGTAAATGTGATTTCAATTTAGGAGAGATAGCACCTTGGCTAGAACTTTTACATTTAAATTATTGCCAAAGAAATTTAATGAAATTAATAAATTGGTTATGGCATTTTTGTGCTACCCTGGTGTCCTGCAGATTTCATTCACCATTCCAACCTTACCTTCCCAATTTCATTTCGTACTACGTTCCCCGGAGAACCTTTTCAACATAAAAATAACTTATTGTAAGATAAACTTCCTTTTAGATATACTTTGCAACTTTAATAAGATTTGTATGCCACTCCCTAGGGACTCTGGGCGGCTCACAACAAAAGCAAAAACATAGAATATTAAAAGTACAATTATTTAAAATAAAATCATCCATTCAATCACGTGGGGCTGGATTTTAAGTTTGCATTATAAAAGTGTCTAGAAACCCAGAACATGTAACTCTTTTTCTTTTTTAATTTTGGCAACATGATTTGTTAGGCAGATGAAGATAATGAAGAGATTAAATATAATGAAATGAATTACAGTAAGAAGGAAATGAATATTACACATATTGTACATGTTTGGCCTGTGCTGTAGATGCTTGTTGAGTTATGGGTTTCTAGTTCACAGAAAATTGGCTAATCTCAGATGGTCAGTTTGTAATCTGTATCTCCTGGACCAAATCTACCCTTATCTGCTTATTTTATTTTCTAAGGCAATTATACTCTGGAAGTTCACCAAAATACACAAAGTCACAGATTTTGTGTGAATCACTTGTCTGCCTATGCAAATATATGTTTCATTCTATGACTCCATACATGTGTTCCACTAAGAAAAAAAAACCTTGACCATATTGTGGAACAAAATTGTCTTTTGTATTTCATGCAACTATTGGAGAATAGAGCGATTATGACACATTTGAATGTCTATCTTTGATAGAAATTTGAAATATAAGTTTGGTATTATTGCTATACCGTCGGAAGAAAGCAAAGAGGTAACACATAGACTAAGTGATTTTTTTCTCCTCCTGAGTGTGTGTGTGTGTGTTTGTGTGTGTATGCATTTAGGAAAAGGAGAAATATATGTTTAGAATAGCTGATAATGTTTCCTCTCTGAGATTATAATATAAAAAGGGTAAATATGTGTAATAATTTGGAAGAGGCAAAGAAAGAGAACACAAATTCTATCTTCCGCCTCCTCTTAAATGGCTTTTCCTGTGAGATGACGGATTCTACCTGAACTCAATTGAAATGTATTTGGGACTAATGTGTATTTAAGTCATTCTGGACATAGAATCAAGAAAGTATGATTTGGGAAGTTTTAGAAGAATTGAATAGAACAGAATGAATAAGCTGGAAGGGACCTTGGAAGTCTTCTAGTCCAGCCCCTTGTTCAAGTAGGAGACCCTATACTCTTTCAGATAAGTGACTGTCTAGAGGCTTCTTAAGAACATCCAGTGATAGAACACCCACGATTTCTGGAGGCAACTTCTGTTCCTCTGGTTAATTGTCCTCACTGTTAGGAAGTTCCTCCTTAATTCCAAGTTGCTTCTCTCTTTGATTAGTTTCCAGCCATTGTTTCTCGTCCTGCACCTTCCGGTGTTTTGGAGAATAATTTGACCCCCCTCTTCTTTGCAGCAGCTTAAAGAAGATTGTTTAAAGAAGAAATATAAGTTTAAATCATCTCTAGAATTTTTCATCCATCTCCTGTTTGAAAATCACCAGTGAGGTGGGAGCCCATGACTGTAATTGGGAGACAACTCCTTTGCTTAATCAGCCCTTACAGTGAAGAAATCCCTCCAATATTCCACCTGAATCTCCTCCAAAATCACATTTCCCTCAGTCTGTATTTGACACACTTCCCTTATTTTAAAATTTTCTTCTTTCCTAATGCTACCAGCATAGCTAGGGATAGATGCTGCCTATTATCTCTATTTCTTAGACCCCCTCTACAAACATGATTTCTGAGATTTTTTCCTTGTAAAGCTGGTCTTAAAAGTTTCTGATTGGCTTTCAAAAATATTTGACTATGTTTTTCCATTCTCACTGATAAGAACTATTATAATTGGCTGCACAGTGAGCCAGATGTTTAAACTGGATTTGGCGTTTTATCTACCTGTTGAGTGGACCTGAGATAGGCAAATGTACGGTAATTGTTTAATGGTGTTAAAGGTATCATCACAAGATGTAAGCTCTTTCAAGTAACCTTGCCTTTTGCAAATTGACTGATAGTGATTTTGTCGATTGCTGATCAACGTAGGTGTAGCTCCAGTTGTTTTGAAATTGCACTCTGGGCACCTATTACTATTGCTACCATCTTATCACAGTCAAAGAGTGGCGGAAGCCTAATAAATAAAATCCTATCCAAGGACCTAAGAGTTATTAAGGTAGTCTCTGAGAATGGCAAAGAAAAAGAATAACTATGTGAATGTATACCTATAACTGTATGTAAGAGAATAGATGACAGTAAAAATATAAAACACAATTATAGGTAAATAATACTTGATCATTAGTAGCTAAGTATAAATAAATAAAAAATGTATATAAAAATGGATAATGAGTAGCGAGATTACGAACGCAAGATAGAAAAGTATAGTAGGGAAAACACTAACTGCAAAGAAACCGATTCGGAACTGCGGTATGATATA